TGTCTCAACTGCACTGTGAATATTTTGATAGAGCTCAGATCAGATCAACTGATTAACTGATCAAAACCGATACTGCGCACATATAATAACCATCACCAGGATCAATAATAAAAAGTGAATTTTTTCTAAAAATAAAATGTGAAATCAACACATCCATCGAGAATAATAACACATAACAAGTACAAATACAATTTTTATTTATTCATATTTATATATACAATGAGTACATTCATATTTATCTATATCAATAAGCATATCTATCATACATTCAATCAGCTGCCTTCAAAGGCAGCTAACTGAATTCACGATATGCGAAAAGCCATCGATCCATCGAATCTTTTGCGTGCGTCAAAAATGTGAGCTGTTCACTCGCTCCAATGTACCCGCATTCGCGTGGTTTTCAACAAAAGCTAAATCACACCTGAAAACAAATTATACGAACGTATTGCTGGATCATATACAGACAGCCATTAGACGTAGAAATATAATAGTTAATAAAATACAATTAACATGGTTAACTGTATTCATTAGAATACAGTTAACCATGTTAATTGTATTGTATTTTATTTTTACCTGAATTCATTAAGTGCTAAATTAACTTAACCGTATTAACATTAACTGTATTAACTAACTGAATTAAAATTATGAACTATACATAAACTAAATTATCTATAATAATGAAATAATATGGTAAAAAGATACGTTAAAACTCGTTTCTTGTCTCTTAGCAACACGAAACTCATACACGAGATCACCAAAAACCACAAGTAAACGGCCACCAACGCCATCGAGAGTGCTGCAAATACGGGATAGAGTTGCGTCAGAGCGCGATCTGCCGACACCAGCAAAATCATGCCGATACCCATCGCACTCATCATGCAGACTATCTGAAAAATTAAATCATTATTACGATCACAATTTTCAATTTTTGATTGTTATTATTATGATTCTCACATCAGAATGAAGCTTGGCTTATACTTACGCAGCTGATATGGAACGGTATGAGCAGCCAATGCCACTCCGTCAAAAGTCCCGTTAATAAGGAGGCACTGGCGATTACTTGATAGAGAGCCACCACAATTATTGGTACGCTCAATAGGCGTTGTTGCTCTTCGGATAGTGTCGCCTTGTAGTACCAGTACAAGGCCAAAACTAAATTCACACTAGCTTGTTAACAATTTTTGGTGTAACTCAAGTATTAAATGCGCTTTCTTTCATTACTATGACTAGTGCTATTATTATTATTATTATTTCTNNNNTATTTGACTGGTAGCCACCATCATTGGTCTTAGATGAAATAAAAGGAGCGTTTTTCACTGAAGTGAGTTGTCGACAGATTTTATCAAGAGATGTGGATGATTTTGAATAAATGTGAAGTGCTGACCAATAACTGATAGCGATACGCACATGAAGGCGACCACGAGCGATGCGATCCTCAAACGGCACATACCACAACAACACCTAAACGTTAGATTACGTTGCAATAGTAAAAATAATAATATTATTACTGGAATATTATTCGCATTCGCATGATAAAGCTTATTTTCAGGCTTAAACGAGCCTGTATCTGGCCATCATCGTGTACAGATTGATGGCACTTTCGGCGTGACCGATCACGGCTATACTCAACGAACTCGCGCAGATGCTCAACGTTGACGACGAGTAATTGTTGTCGTCTTTAGGCATCGTCGCGGCGGCATTCGCCAGTTCGTAGGAGGCATAGAGTCGTGCCGAATCGTACGATGTCTCTGCGGCCATTGCTACTTTGTTGGTGTGCAATGGCAACTGCAGTGAGCTGCAACGCCTCAACTGAAACATTTATTTTTCATTCCACGTACGTTTTCACAAGGCCTCTACTTCACGTTTCAATTTCAATCTCATAACTTCATTTCATCACGTCAACAACACGCAATTAGCGCTCTAATTAACTGCTCTAATTGATGCGACCATATAAATCACCTGTGATCTGGCTGGAACTGTTAAATAAGTTCCAAAAGTGGTTCCATTAGCCGTCGTACTACCGTCGCCGCCACCAGACCTGCCTCGAAGCATCGTTTATTCTGTTTCAGCGATGACTCGATTCTTCTATCTATAATTCAGTTCACAAATCCATCGATCTGCATTTCAATAACAACCGAATTTAATGAAAACAGTACGCTCTAAGTACTCAAAAATCGAGCCAAACCAAGTATTAAGAGCTATTTTGATTCAAGTGGAACGTGCATTCAAGTCGCTATCACTCACATCTTCACTACTCCCCATCCGTCATCAAACAACAACCAAATAACGTTTAGATAAAAATTACTCTATGATGCTAAAAACATGCTCTATATAAATTTTACGCACGCACAGGCGATGGATGGATGATCCATCATGCCAAATAAAGAGATCTGAGATCAAGCGAGATCAAACGCTCGTTGACTTAAGCACCTACTTTAGAGTACTAGAACATTTCTATCATTACTATAATTCCTCTTCGATACTTAAGCTAAAGCTTCGAATCAAATCGCCATTCTCCGCGAATCACCACATCATCACAAAACACATCAAAACAAGCAACAACCATCAAAAGCTCGTATTCGGACGGTCAATTTGCCGGCTGCTGCACAAGCATACTGACGACGAATGAATCGATCCGGCCGGCAATAACATTACAAAACTATTAATTTATTTCTTGAATTCATTCAGTTTCGTCTCCTTGTTTCCGGTTGAATCGGATGCGCCTGCATACATAGCATAGCATAGCATCATTAATAAACAAACGAACAAATTCCTTTGAATAGAGCTCGCCGAATGCCTTCATATTGAAATAATATAATATGAATGAATAGTTGTTGCTTGTTCCAACAAACAAATCGCTCGCATCATCTACTCTCAATTTGCTTATTCCACAAAATACAAACAAATTCTGCGTTCCCAAACAACACGTTACCGCAACAACTGAAATTTATTCAATTATTATTCAATGCAGCAACGTTTCATCCATCAAACAACATACATCAACAAAGTTCCTTCACAACGCTTCACTTATAATCCAAAGTGGCAAGTCAAGTCTCCATTGAGACAACAACAAACTAAAATGCCTCTAGCAATAATCAGTGATATGCTTCTTCACTTTTCCTTTTCTTCCCAACAAGCCAGCTGCATTAAACATCATTAATTGAATTTCAATTTGCATTATCACTAATTGTTGTTGTACTCGTCGTAATGAATATTGGTGCCGTGCCACCTTTGAATCTGATGCATTCGATGAGCACTGAGCACATCAGATGATAGCAGTGCAACAAATATACCCACCCAACTCTATTGTATATCATTAGTATAGTCCTGGTCTTTACATTTCATAGCTCATATGCCAAAGTACGAGCCAGCCGAGCACCACAATCAAGAGCAGCAGTGAAATAAGAATCGAATCGAAATGAGACGAGTGCTGAATGCAAATCGAAACTAAACTGAAACACGACTACTGCACACGAGCGAGCACCGTTAAACTGGGCACTAGACAGACGACACGACACATAACACATCATAATCGCAGCAACTGCAAATTACACGGTGTTCGCTTGGATAATAATTGTTACTGGCTAGCATGCATGCTGCTGCCTTGCCGGCCTGCCGGCCAGCTGGCTCGCTCAAACTTTAAAAGAATTTCATTTCATTCAAGCACCTCACTGTGCCAGCCGGCCGGCCGGCCGACCAGCCGGATATTCTACTCTACACTTCAACTAATTTACTCAGCCGCCAGCCAGCACACTTGTCTTTATAACAATCAGCTTACACGAACCAATGCTTTTAGAACTGACTGCTGCTAGCCTAAGCCTGATACTACTCTAATATGGCGATTGAATTGTTCAGAGCGCATTCATCGGTACATCTATCCCTATCCATGCACTATCCACGTGTCATTCATCAGTCGCAAGATAACAACGCATGACAAGTGCTAAAAAATTCAGTCTTGTCATGCTAATGAGAGCATGACAACGATCATGTTCGTGGCAAGGCAACAACCAACACACACACCCACTCCAATTTCTCTTCACAAGTTTTAATTCATTCGCTCGCATTCCAGTAACATTATATGAGCAGCATCAACATTAACTTTTACTCATATTCTATTCTTTCTTGTAAATCTATGAATTCTTCTATTATTATCCATTTCACTGCTCTCAACTAACCACAACGCCTTCAACTAATTCACCACTTATTTAACACGAAACATCATGCTTATGATCATCTAATATTCTTTAATCATTTTCTTCAGTGTATTGCTTTTTATAGCAGCAATACTTACAGCCCTATTTGCTGCTGCTGCTGCTGCTGCTGCAGCTATATCATCTAACCCTCACTCATCCAACAACCATCATCAAAAACACTACCAAATCGCTTGGCATTGCTTGCTATAAGCCTACAGCTTAGCCATAGTTAGGCTGAAAAGATGACCGAGAGCAAGACCAGACCAGACCGCTTTACAAAATCAGACCGTTCATAATTTTAAAATACCGTCCGTGTTCAACGCAGAACATACGAACAACTGCTGCTAGTGTTTGCTAGTTGGTTGGCTCATTTGACGTTTGCTTGAAGCTTTGAGTTGCGTCGCATTCGGTCGAAGCTAGCTGTGTTTTGAAGGTTCAAACACAGAACACAGACATTTCACAGAAACATTCAATTCACAAGCAAAGTCTCAAATTCAAATGCAGGCGGCACACTCTCTCTCTCTGAAAAATCTACTCTACTCAATAGCATTGGTCAACTGTAGAGAGGCCAACTGTAGCCAGCAGCTTGGTGGTGCTCTTGAATGGAATATTATTTATGAGTAGTGATTCTTTCATCAATTATCATCAAATTCTTTGTTGCTGCTGCTGAAGTAATCGAGTGAGTGAGTGATCGACTAATTTACTTACCGATACTGTCAGCATTAGAATGAAGATAGATTGATGTTCAACTGTTTTTGCTTATCCACACTGGATCCGTTTAGCCACAAATTAGAGTATTAGAGTTTAGCCACAAGTAACTTAGAAAATGCTGCTGCTGTTGCCATTTACGATTCCGATCCCGAATTAAAGCACCACTCGACCGACCGGCACAACAAACTATTTTCCATGATGCATCTGATAATCTCACGTTGGTTGACGTCAATTCTCGCTCGTGTCCTTAAATCGAAAGATTTAACATTAAATGTTTGACTACGACTCAAATCTTTTGAAGAGCATCGGAGAAGAGGCCGACCGGGCTGGACCGGGCCGAGTGCCCCTCCCATTCATCTTGTCATAATTAACTAACAATTAATTAACAATGTGAACAAACAATGCGAAAAACCAAAAAAAATTTCATTCGTTTCATACAACACGATAAATTGTGATCGTTCACAAAAAAAAAACAAAACAACAACATACTTCGCGTGATAAAACGACAAGACACGAGCGAACGAGCATAAATAGTAATGATGAGCACATCAAAAATAAATTATAAGAAAAAAACAAGCATATTCACTCATCCAGTGCAAACATCATCAGCAGCATCAGCCGCTATTTGCAGCCGCCATTTACAAGGACTGATTACAGCCAGGTACTGCTGCTAAACCAACCAACCAGATCGAATCAAATAATTTCATGATGAAAATGGATGGATAGTTGGATGGATGGATGGATGGAAAAGAATAAGTTTTGCATTGTCCAAGAACGAATGCCGTTGAGTTGATTGCATTTTCAAGGCATGCACCCAAGCCACCCACCGTCCACCTATTATCCTCATTACACATTTCGTTGATTGATGCAAAAAAAACGAAACAACTAAACAGACTCAGTCTCCTGCTCATACACAGCTAAACGAAGCAATCTAGCCACAAGTCTAATATCTAAATCCTGTGTCCTTGTGTCCCTAAGCCTAAGCGGCGCTCCTTTCCAGACCACTTCACATCACAGCTCTAAACAATTCAGCTCTACCCATTACAAAAAAACACACATTCATTATTCATTTACATGCGCTCTTTTCAACAACAGTGAAATGGCAACACACGAACACAATCCACAGAAATTCATTCAATACGGCATCAATTCCCATCCATACTAAAAGCCATACTTTTATTCTAACTTATACTCCCTCCCTTCCCAATAAATACCTACCTCATCTTAAACTACTACTATTATATCATCAATCCTTCAATCTAAACAGCTTTAATCTTGCTCAGCTGCGCGCACCAACAATACCTTACGACGCATTTAACTTCCATAAATTTGGGCATTCAGTTATGACTCTCGAAAAATCTCTCTCTTCGCTAGGTAAGCAAGCATCGGATGCGGAATGAGTTTCGTGCGTCGTACTCCTCCTCATTCGACGACGATCATTCCATCCGAACGAACGATCATTCCTTCGATCACTTATAATCCAATCGGTTGATTGATTCGCTCGCCTCGACCCACATCAGGTTCAGACTTGCAATAGCCTAACTGCCAAAAATGGCCGAATCAAGTAACTATCGTTGAATCATAAACATCCGAACCCGATAGTGAGAAAATTTTCAGAGCAGCATCGAGCAACCAACCCATCCACCCGAATCAAATCAATAAAAATCAAATGCTGCTTAACGATGAACCTCGGCATAAGAGCCTCGGCAGCACAAGACCAGCGCACTTCGAATTCGAATACAATCCACAAACCAACCAACTCTACCCACAAAATCATATCGACCAGCAGCAGCACTACCCAAACACAACCACATCGCTCTCCTCTCCAATTAACACCACCAACCACCGACCCTACAAACAACTAAACTGATCAACTCAACCACATCTAGACACCTTTTAATACTTTTCTCTCTCTCGCTCTCGACCCCATATCATATAAAAACTAATTGTAAGTGACAGCAGCGTGGCGCGTAAATACACAGTGAACATGAACAAGTAGTGATATTTCAAAAATCAATACAATCAAAATAACTGATCAACAAAATAACTAACTGATCGATCGCATCGAATAGTGATCAAAATGACACACAACAGCGCATTATCGTTAAAATGCAACTTACAACTGAATATTACATTACCAACTGAATACTACACACCAATAATTGAATCCAAATTGGATATCGCCACCAAAACCACATAAACAATAAACATTTGCACCCATCCATCCATCTATCCATCAATTCAGTACCAAGTCAACTTCCTTCCTTGTTCTGCTGCTGTATTTCAACACCACTAACAAATGCTCAGCAACCTTTCAACATATCAGTCAAATTCGTCAATTCAATCAATTCAGTCAAATCAGATCAGTCAATTCATACAAGTTTGCCACTGCACGCACGCACGCACACACGCACATCAAATGTAAATCCCCTTCATTTAGGGCATAAATTCCCATGAATTTACAAAAACACCGACTGCTTAGCTGCCTGCTAAACATATGTAGTCAAAATTTTCCAAGTGTTTTGCATAAACTCATTACCATTCTCTAATCCTCCCATAAGCTCCAATAGCCCAAAAAACAGTACTTCGAACGCCCAATAATCAGAAACGCTTGATCCTCACTAATCCAACGCAACCCAACCCAACTAATGAATATTCGAGTAGGATGAATGGACGTTTGGTTGGATGGATGGGTGTATTTTGGTGTAATAATAATAATAATAATAATCAAAATCCAGCAATCAAAAAACTGAGTACAATAAAAATTAAGTAACAGCACATCCCACAGAATCACAATAACACTCTCGCGCAACCTGGTACCTGGCATGACCATGTTCTGTCCATCTTTCAATAAGATAGTGCTGCTGGCCAGGCCAGAAATCACGCCAAACAGCCGAACCAACCACCCCACCGCATTTGCACCATTCAGCTGAAATAATTCATACTCCTTAACAGAGCCAGCCATCGATTCACATCAATGTGCTGCTGCAATGCCGAATAAAACAAAACTAACCAAAAAAAAANAAAAAAAAACACTTCAACCAAGTCGATCGAATACGGATCTTTTAAAGTGTTTTCGTTGTTGTTGTGTTCTCAAAAAACGTTTTTGCAGCACATCGCCGATATCCACTGCAGCTCTGGCACTAGCAGCAGCATGCATATTAATGGCGGCACGTGACAGACGAGTTGTCACCGGCACTCTGGCTTGCTTCTTTTGAATTGCACCACTCAAACGACCGCTTAACAACATCTGCTGCTGTCTGCTGCTTATAACGCCGCCGTTCGAGTTACTTCTCAAATCTGCACTCGTCACTTTTTTCTAAATCAAACATTTATTACATTTATTACTTACTAAACAAACTTTTCTAAAATCATTACATTTATTACTCGTATTACATTCATTCATAAATGTTTAACGAACAAAACATTCAAAGCAATTATAACAACAACAACAACAGCACTTATATTTCTCTGACGATGAGAACCTCAATCACCATTTTCTTGGATTGTACAAACATTCAATTCGCTTCGACTCCATTCGCGTACGTCTACGTGTATGATAAATAACACTCGCGCATATACTCTAACTAAATTCCTTCCACACTGAACCTAAATCTCCAAAAAAAATTCTTACCCTAGATAGACCTGCTCCACCAGCTAGTCTTGTTGTTTG